CTCTCTCTCTCTCTCTCTCTCTCTCTCTCTCTCTCTTTCTCTCTCTTTCTCAGTTTACTTATTTACTTTTGTTGTGTGCTACTCATTATAACTTCCTTAACATTACAGAAATAGGAAATCAGTTGTGTTTCTAAAATCCATTTGGCTTCAGGATGCTACATCACAAACTTCCCTAGGCATTCATCATGATGGGAACAGCTTTGGGGACCCTCTCCCAAATATGAAGCATCTCCAGTGTTTGGTCTGTCCTCCTGTAGGATTTCCCCTGTATGGAACTGTGCTTGGATAGAGCTTGTGTGACACACCTCTCCTGAGACTCAAAAGTTTTAGTGAAGCCGTGGACATTCGGGGAATGCAGGCGAAGCAGAACAAAGTGTTTCGCAGAATTATCCTCATTGTCTTTAACTGTTTTCTTTTCACGGGTGTATTATGCATCGTTGCCAGAAACTGAGTGAATGTGAACTAAATGAGTTTGGGACTCCACTGCCTGTGACCAAGTTGTCCTTGTACAACTCTGGCTGTCACCTGCGTAACAACTTTTTTTTTTTAAATCTTACATCTCAGCAAATACGGTATTATTTCTCCAATAGTGCCGGCTGCTGATAGTATCACTTGGCTGGTTATTTATCATATATATCTGTAATTGAATTACCCAGTGCAGTAATGGGATTTACTCTCAAATGTACATAAAAATGCAATGCAAAGTAAAATTGTTCCGCTATATGCTTCCCTGTCACTTGGCTTGAACTCCAGGTCAGCCAATTCCACAAAAATGCAGAGACAAAAAGGAAAGAAATGAAAGACCAGGAGATAAAACCAGGTGGGCTTACGGCCAAATATAAAAGAAACTCATCCGTTAACAAACGTATTTTCTTTTGAAATAGTTTTCTATTCACTGTTAATCAGAAAGCCAATCCCAAAACACCCAAAGAAAAAGCCGTGATTGAGTGAGTTACTTTTCCACATTCGATACTGAGCATGTTTGAAAACATTTGAGAGCTCGGGCCTGGGAATAGAGCATGCTCATCTTTGCTCTTGTCAAACAACCATAAATTTTGGACCAAAGAAGAAGGAAAGAGAAGAAGATGACAGCCATATTTTGGACAAAATGTTCCAATGACTGCTTAAGTCCCCTGCTGCACTAACTCTGTTTTCAATGACATGCCCTGGGTGAAATACAACTTCATTTTTGAAGTTGTGTGGCTTTAAACTACCCTGTGAAATGTGACTGGGTTTCCTAGTTCTAGGATCTTCCAGAAGACATGAAGGCACAGATTAACTATGTGGATACCAGTGTACTAAAATAAACCACTTAGGACTCGGTATCTTCTCTCCGATCAAGCCGTTTGTTGGTTGTGCTCTATGCTTAGACTCTGAACCCAAGAGCGTTTTGGACAGACTTACTGAGAGCAGAAACTTTGAATGTATCCCAAGATTGGGTTTGTTTTTTCCCTCTCTCTTCTTACTATGAAAAATAGATTTTGTGTACTTGGATAACCAGTACCCTAAAATGGGATGGTACTTGCTACTAAACCTAATGACCCAAATTTGGCTCTCAAACACATGTGGGAAGGACAGACACAGAGCTGCCATGTGACCTTTACACTGTGTCCTGTGCAACACACACACACACACACACACACACACACAAATGTAATAAAAAGTGTAAATGCCCAAAAATAAATGTATTTAAGAGTATACCAGCTTCATCCTCAAGCTATGTCCCAACAAGCTGATGTTCATTCCTTATACCCATCTCCGAGATGTTCTTACTCTAATCTATGGGAACTACAAACAGCAGAGCACACTATCTAGGTCAGAGCATGTCTGCAGGGTAGTAGAGTTTTTTTTTTTAAATAGTAATTTTCAACTAGCTTTTTACATCTTAGTTTAGAAAGTACTCGAGGAGCATCTATGAAAATCTCTATATTGCAGACAACAGCACAGATACTGTAAACTATTTAGAGAATGATACACACTCATCTGGGGATTCCAGAAAAGTTAACTTTGCGGAATATAAATATAACTTTGCAGGCAGGTGCAGGTAGGCCGAAAGGTAGAAGCTTCTTCGTTAGATACTTTGTTATAATTCAATTTGTTAGACACTGCAATTTATGTTTCAAACATTATTGAACATTAAACACAAAAACTTGTCACCTTGGTATTATAATTATATCCTAAGCAATTTGTCTGGGTAACTATAGCAACAATTTCAGATACGTTTTATAATACTAACTTGGTATAATTTTAGAATCAAGAATTATAGCTGATTTATAGGAAGAAATGGTTTTCTCGAATGGTTGTAAAATTCTACATTTAAAAACAAAAATGGGTTACTTGACTAGGACTTAATGTGAACGAGTGGATTTCCTCTGTGCTGCACATGGCATGGTCTGAAACACAAGCCTCTTCTTTACGGTCAGGTTCTTATTTGCAAACCCTGGAGTCCCTGCTCACTCATTTACCCAACAAGAAGTCTGATGTCTTTGGCTGGACTCTTAGCAAAGCCCTGCCCATACCTCCTTCACTTTCCTGTATTTTGTCATTGGAAAGCCTCTGTTTCGGTGACATTGTGATAAAAAGGACATCCAGTTAACTGGATAAAAATCATTTTATCTGGCATGAGAAGCAATTTATATAGCCCCCAAGAAACTGGCATCTATTTTGAGCAAGAAGCATATAACACAGAGAAATGCTTGTTGGTTTTAACAGCTGTCCCTCAGCAAGAGGCGAAACTGAGGATAGAGAAGAATTTCCTATGAGAAGCCAGTAGCTACAAGGACTTCCGGTGGTCCAGGAAACCTAGGCTCATGATAAACTTGTGGGAATATGCTTGTATTCACCTTGTATTGTTGTCGTTACTCTGTATGTCTCCATTTCTCTCTTTCATTCTCTACAGATGTAACTAGGAGGCCATTTGAGACAGACACAAGGAAGGATAAATGCCAGCTTCTCTTCAGCAGATTCTGAACACCTTAAATACTTCCTCTGGTCGAAGACAGGCTTCCCCACCCAGAAGACCAAAGTCTTTGCTCGCAGTAGGGATCCTGCAGCTGTTTGCCATTAAGACAACCAAATGAGTTAGCAGCAGTGTCCTAAAAGGCATAAGGTGAAGAGTATCATTCACTCCCCATGTGAGGAAAAGTTTGTATTGACTACAGGCACAGAAAAGCAGATACCAGTTCATGGACTTCACAACTGCATGGGCACACACTGTGACTACAGGCAGCATCTTGGATAAGCCACTGTCTCAAAAGTTTTTACCATAAACCAACTCAGAGCAAAGGAAGTCTGTGCTTCAAACAGCTACATTTAGAACCGCTTTTTCATGTAAATCAAACATGCAGAAGAAATGTGAGTGGGAAGAAAGAAATGTACACTTCTTTTGGAGTAAACACAACAAAGAGAAGTTGTTTCAGTGATCTACAACAGAAGGCGTCTGCTTAAGCCTGAAGTGGAACTGTGAACTTTTTACTCCAAGGGAGAAACTTCTCCCTCTCTCAAAACATGGAAAGCAACGTTAATAGCAATTAATTCAATGAGCCTAACAGGGTATTAAAAACGTTTCCTATTAAGGGCTAGTTTTGTCTTTCTGCGTCTTCTTATAAAAGACTAACTCCGTAATTAATAACACGTCTGCTCTTCAAAAACAGGGCTCTTCCTGATAAGCCTGGACAAACAGCTATTTTTAAAAATATAAATAAATAAACAGCAACGATTTAAACGCCCGGTGTTTTAACCAATGTGCTCCTCGGGAGCAGAACCTCCTCTCTGTATTGCACATAACTCTTACACCTTCGCGCAGTTTCAGTTGCCTTGTTAAGTCCAATTGTCAAAGAAGAAAGATGTGTACACTGAGAAATTTATAGGAATTTGTCTTAGGAAGAGACCTTTCCAGATAGACGGCTTTCGTCAACTTTTCTGTCGCTTAACTAAGCTAAAAGCTCTCCAGGGTAAAAAAAGAACACCTCTCTCAACTCTTTGCCTTTTGAGGTGAAATCACAGCAAAATCTGTGTTTTACTGCTGCCTAGGACCCCTGATCCGCTTGCCCAGGACAAAAACACCAACAAGCTCTGTGGCATCCTCTCTGAAAGCTCGCTCTTGCCGCCCCCTGCCGGGGATCTCCGGGACGCCGCAGGCGCAGGAAAGTTAAAAGCCAACTCCAGGCAACCGCATCCAGGTACAAACAACAAAAACCGAGGTGAAAGAGCTTCCCGCCAAAGCCCAGGGCGGGGGATGAGGGGGACCGGGACCTAACCGCGCTGGGCTCGGCACGAGGGCAATCGCCGGGGATTATTCCCCACCAACAGTTCCTCCAAACATCCAGAGCACCGATCTTCGCCTGGCCCCAGACTGTGAGCCCGGGTATGAAACGCATGCGGCGGGGCTGCCAGCAGACTGGGGCTCCGCGAGTGGAGTTCACCCTGCTGATGAGTCCCCAGGCTTCTCCACCCGTGCCTTATCCTCCCTCAGCAAAACACTCTGGCGGAGTTGAGTCGTAGTCCCACTACCCTCAGATTCTCACGAACACGGCAAAGCCCTTGTACAGAGAACAGGAAAATGTCCCCTAGTCCACCGAGCAAGGAGGCAGGCGATTCCGACCACCAAACCCGGTTCCAGATCCCACCAAGCGAGCCTGGCCTCGCGCGGATTTACGCACACGGATCTCTCCGAGTACCTGAGAGGTGCTGGCCGAGGTGCAGGCTTGCCCACTGGAGGGTCGCACACCGAGACCTTCCCAATCCACGCTCGGATCCAGGGAAAGGCAAAGCCACAAACTTCCAGCCCGTGCACTATCTCCACTGCGACCGCCCCCGCTTTGATGGTAGTCCTATTCTTGCACGCGCCTCTGCCAGGTTGTCCCCACCCAGGTGTCTGCAGAGTGACCCTACCCGAGACTTACACCACCAACAAATGGACTAATGCTGCCCCGGGTCCAGTTCACATGCGTAGGGTCTCAGCTATGACACTCAGGGACTCTGCGGGGGAGCGAGCTCACCAGATGCGGGGCGCGTTCCTCCTGCTAGTCATCCAGCGCCCCGGGGCCCGGAGCTGTTCCAAAGGTCTTCTTCAGTGCGCTACGAGGGAAGTCGAGGCAGCAGCCGCCACTGCACCCCGCCACTTCTCCAGAGCTATCCTCCTCTCGCAGCGCGCCAGGCTGGGGACCAGCTTGCCTGCGGGAGTCTTCAGTTGTGCAGCTGAGTGGACGGGCTCGCACCGAGAGAGGGCGACCGGTGAGGTGGCAAAGTTGGGTACCCTCTGCTTAGTAGCCGCGCGTGGGAACCCAGAACACCCCAAAGAAGAATTGCATGTACCGGGACGCCCCCGCAGTGGGAAGGTGGGATACAGTGGCCGCCGCAAGGCTGGGGCCACCGCCAGCCAAGGGCTGAGGAGCCCACCCGCGGCGGGAGCGCAGCGCGCGCGGGAGTGAGCACAGCGTGAGCAGCCGCTGCCGACGCCGCCTTCCCTGGCGAGTAGAGCCGCGCTGGGTGAGCGGGCCCAGAGCTCGGGGCGGGGAGCACAGGCCGCCTCGCCCCGCCCCCGCCACGCCCCCTCCGCCGCCCCTCCCCTACTCCGCCCCTCCCGCGTGCAAACTGAGAGCCCCACCCGCCCCTGACCTTCCCAGGCCCCTCCTCTGGCCCCGCCTCTTCCCGAGATGGGACCCCCCCCCCAAACACTCCCGGGCGGGGGGCTCTCTCCACACCCCAGGAGTCCTATTTGTGCCTCTCGAGTGCAAGTTCACCCAAGTGGTGACTTTTTACGGACTCTCTTCCTCTCCTGGAAGGGACCTTCTTTGGCGACCCGCCCCCTGTCCGGTGGTTCCGACGTGGCTACTTTGCAGGATGGGCTGTATAAAGAGCTGGAGGCTGTTCAGCCCAAACCAGAGACGTGGCGTCTGCTAGGCCGGCTTGAGCTCCAGGTATGTGCATGCCCTTAGGCAGATCGCGGGTGGGAAGAGGGTGGGAATTGAAGATTCAGTTCTTCTGTGTCATCTTAAGAAGACTGGGGTGTGTGTTGGGGGGTGGGGGGCTCCGCAGATTCTTACAGGCAAGTTCTTGAAAAGGATAGATCAGACAAATGAATAAATCTGCCATCCAAGGAAACAGAGCAAGAGGTTCCCAAGTAGCCCTAATCGGCCTTAGGAGAGGGTTCACTCATGGACAGACCCAGCTGGGCTAACTGGCACTTCTGCAAGTATCTTGGGACTTTACTAAGTGAGCATCGGAGCAAAAAGTTTATCTTGGAACACAAAGTAAATGCCTCGGAAAGGGAGTTTTTATTGAGGCATCCGTTCGTTGTTCAGTTCTCCTTCTAAGGAAATGATCAACTCACCAAGTTCTAAACAACATACGGGATTATTTAGAGGGAAAATTACAGGATAAAGAAAGTCAGAAAACGTGGGTTCCTGCCCCTATAGCCACATGTGATCCCCCTTCCCTCAGAATAAGGTGAGGGAACAACCTTTAGGTTTTCCTCCCATGCCCGGCCTTATTGGTGGCTTCAGGGTGCTTTTGCATAAGGAATCTTGTCAAAGAGCTTCTTAGCTTCAGGACCTAAGGATGTCCGCTTTTGCAACATTCACATCATGGCATTGGCAAGTTGCAAATATGCCCGGGTCGGAGAGGGGTGCCGGTCACAGTGCAGGACATCTGTGAGAATTCCATAGTGCTAAACAGGGACCAGGAATGTGTCACAGCTTGTCCGTGACCACAGAGATTCAAGAGGAGGTGGATAGAAGCACAAATTGCCACCGATTTGTTGTTTCTGTCACCTTTCAAATGAGAGAATTAAGTGAAACGATTTTTAAACGAGTCCATGGGAGCCTATGTCAACTCCAGAGCGTGCTGTGTCTGGAACCGTGGAGCTTGTTAGGTATGGCCCCAACTCAGATGTCTTCTCGGGGCCTTGGGAAACATCTACTACAGTTGTTTGGCTGGCTTCCAGCTCTGGACCGCAGCCCCTGGCTTCTAGATCTCGAAGGGAAAAGTTAATAGGCTTCCTGCGCTTCTCCCTGCTGTTTCAGGAGTGGGTGGGAACTGGCGCCATTCCCTTCTCTTGCCTACGTGGCACAACAGCCTGAGAGGCTCTTGGGAGAAGGAGACCTTCTAGGGTCTGGCAGTTGAAGACCTCAGCCTTGTATTTGAACCCTATATCCTTCAAGTGGGCAGACGGAGACTTACAGGGTGAAGAAAGACAAATTAAGACTCAAACGGACTTAATTATTTCTTGTCCTTGTCCCTCAATGTCAATTGATAAAAACAATTAACACGTCTTTTTTTTAAAAAAAAAAAAAAACTTTTTTTAAGAAAGAAAAGAGTGAGGCACAGCAAGCCTGTGTACCCAGCACTCTGGTGGCTGAGGCAGAAAGATTGAGAGTTCAAGGCCAGTCTGGGGCCACCTAGGGATAACTTATCTCATAAACTTACAAGCAGACAAAGAAACTCACTCTTAGCTTGAAGGCGTAGGTGCTATGAGCCGTGAGGATTATTGCATAGAATTTCACCCACTAAATGAAGTGAATTTCTGTTACTGGGGCAGGACGTAGGTTTGATTTTGACATTTACAGACTACACTGTACCATTGTTAAAACTCTCTAATAAGCAAGACCAGAAACCAAATTCTCGTTTAGAGTGTGCTTTCTTGGCCTAAAGCGGCTATTCGGTTCTCACAGCCTTTTTGCTGGTGAATGACCCTTTCACAGGGTCGAATTTCGGATATCCTGCATGTTAGATATTTACATTATGATTCATAACAGCAAAATTACAGTTATGAAGTTGAAGCGACATAATTTTATGATTAGGGGTCCTCACAACATGAGGGACTGTATTAAAGGGTCACAGCAAGACTGAGAACCACTAGAAATGAAAGTTTGCTTCTGACTTGCAGAAAGTTCGTGAACATTTCTGAGCTCATGTCTCCTCATGCGACGTGACCCAGCTAGCTCATCAGGAATGTCAGTCACAAGCACTAAAGGAGAAAGAAGCTGTTAAACAAAACACCTCTGAGGCTTAGCACCAAGCAGGCATTCTAAAATGCAATTATTTTAAAGTATTTATAAATATTTCCTTTCCCTAATAGAATTTGCTTTCCCCTTTTAGAAAGCAATCCTTGTTAAAGGCACCTTGAATCGTCAGATTTTTAACTAAATGTGCTTATTATTCTACCAGGAATGTTTTGCTGTTATCATGATAAAAATCCTCCCCCTCTCTCTTCCCTCTCTTCCTTCCCCCTCCCTTCCTCTTTTCCTCCCCCTCAGCCTAACCACTCCTCCCCCCACCCCCATCAACAACTGCTTCAGGTGAGCCTGTGTCCAGGGCCAAAACCAAGAAAAGCTATGAAAGAAACTCGTTGGTGAAAATGATGAATTCTGGGGCGCTGATTCATATGACTTGAAAAACGCCATCCATTTCCTGACTCACCTCAGGTTCTGTTCAGAAATATGAAGCAGTATATGACTTTGAACTAATGCAACAATTTTGTCTTTTCTTTATATTCCCTCCCAGTGCCTGACTAAAGCCCAGAGAATGGAGCAGAGAGGAGCTGAAGAAAGCATGGCCAGGAGACATGAAGACACAACTGTGGGCCACAGTTGGCCTTCCTTGGAAGGCTCCTTAACTGTGGGCTATAAGATGTAACAAGACTATTATTCAATTATTAAAAAAAAAAAAAACAAAACAGTGCTGGCCTCTTTACATTGTTTTCCTGCAGATGAGCCCGGCATACGTTACAGTAACCATTCCATAGTTTCTTTTCCACTCTGGTTCCCGGTGTTGTCTGACCCTGCCCATTTTACTACACCTAAGGAGTGGCACAGAGAAGTGAAGCTTGGTGTTACTGTAGCACTGCTCAGTGCTGCTTCGGTTTTACATACTCTGTAGTACTCAGAAGATCCACCGTTACAGTTACAGCTTACACCATGATGGATATCATGGGTGTTGTCACAGAGGAAGGCTTTTAAACTAGAAAGGTTGCAGATGGCATGAATATTCAGTGCCTCCTGTGGTCTCTTGGGATTCATCAAAGCCCATTTAGGGTTGTTCCTTTGCCCCAAGAATGCTCTCTGGCCTTCAATGCCCTCTCCCTGAGTGGTGTTAAGGAGACTAGATTTGTTTTAAAAGAACATTGTAGGAGCTTAGAAGGTGTTATTACATACACAAGAAGGAACATAACTGGGTATAATACAAAGTTCAGGTTCTCCATCCTTAAGATCCCAGGCTCCTAGGATGTGTGAGGGAGCCTCCAGCATGGCCCTCTCCACAGACTAATGTCTTCTCTGGGGTCTGGCATGGTGTTCTTTTACCTCATACCCATGTTCAAAGAAGCAGCCTGGTTAAGTGTGCAGGCCACAGCAGTAAGTAGCTTCAGGGTGTGCTCAGACACACACTCAGGAAGGTGAGCCTGCTTTCTGTAATAGGGTGGGGTTTTCTTTTTCTTTGATATGTTTGATGATTCTTCAAGCTTCCAGTGGGAAATCGCATTTTACTTAAGCTACATTTCCAGAAATCAAAGCATTCTAGAAATCTACAAGCATTTTGGTTCAGTGTGTGTGTGTGTGTGTGTGTGTGTGTGTGTGTGTGTGTGTGGTTAGATTTCTAGATACGTTTTTTGGCAACCCAATTTTCCTTAAGATAAAACTGGTTCCCTCAGAGCAGTTCAAGTTGTCTTTTAGAAATATAGAATGGAAAGAAGAAATACGCTAAGTTTAAATGGCTCCTGGAATATCTTCAGGAAAGGCAGATGGTTTCTGGCATGAAGATAAAGTATTCTTAGGGTTTCCTTGGAGTTATTTTCTGACATTGAGACTCATATATTTCTTGAGTGTTTATAAGCAAAGAGTGGCTGTACTTACTTTAAAAAGATCTTCTGTACTCATCAACTAATGTCTTCTACCTTTTTTGTCTTTGAGAAATGGAGCTTTGGGGTGACACGAATACTTTCAGAAATACATCTGAGAAATATATTCAGATTTTGAAGCACAATTTCTCTGCCTTAGTTTATTTCAATATTTACCAACTAAGTTTGGCATAATGATATTGAATTCAATAAAAGGGGCATTTGTAGACTTAAGCCAAAGGGGACATGTCTTCTCCAGCAAATGTGAGGAATAAAGGCTGTTGGGGTCTTGCCGCCCCTCTGTCAACACTCACTCCCACCCTTCCTTGTCATCCTCTCTACTGCTGCCTCATCTCAGCATGTCAGTTTCTCTCACTCCAAATGCTAACACCTCCTCTCATGTTGACAGCAGCCACCGCTCCTCAAACAGCATCACTCCCACAACAAGCATGGTCTTTAATGACACAGACCCGATTTAATTTGAATTGCAAAAT